TATAGTTATATGTGTAAAAAATAATATGTATATATGCATATAATATGTCCGTGTGCTAGTCGCACATATAGATATAAACATGTACACATACGTACATACATACATACATACATACATACATACATACATAAATGCACACATCTATAATTACATACATATATCTATATAAACACTATACAGATAGCCCTATCATGGTTTGACCATGATACTGCAAAAAGTCTATCTGGTTGGACAGCTGTAGACCTGTATGAACCAACCACGAAGCGGCGTGCTACCGATGTCGCAACCAGAATCAATGGCGACAACCACCGCAAAATTTCTGCCCGAGTCGCGGGTAAGTCCATGCGATGAGTATATCGGAAATGCCCTCTGTAAGCAGCTGGTATCCGAAGACCTGCCGGTTTCCGCAGAAATCTCAACCCTCAATCGACTACCCGGCTCTGCATGGACTTCACCTGGGAGGCCAAACGCCCGAACTCCCATCTACAGGGAGCTCTAAACATATCGTTGGGGCAAGACCTGCTGAATTTCAAGTCTTCCGCGTTTGCGTCATATCCGCAAGGCCCCAACCACATCGGCCCAATCTCTTCCTTTTTTCATCCAGCCAGCAAGAGCCTCACCTGGGAACCAATCTGTTCACCGAAACTGACACAGTAACGAGGCCACCCCTCTGTAGAGATGGCTACTCAACTGCGCTTGTGGCACCTTCTCCAGGGGGGCGATGTGCTTGGAGGAGGCTTGTCCTGCCCGAACTATTTGCTCGCGGTTCAGGAAACAGGGGCTTTGCCGGTTTACCCTTTACGGGCTTTGTGGTTCAGACTTTACTTCGGGTCTAGGGTGCAGTTCGGCGCATGGAGAAGACATTCGCGTCAGGTGTGCGATAGTGAAGAGACAAGAGATAACCGAGGATTTCACGATCCCATTCGGGCTTGGGCAGTCGGCCGGGGCAAGTGACAGAAAACAGCAGCATCGTGCTTTTTGCCTTTCGGGTTGGCCCAAGACATCCTATGAGGGATTTAGTTAGTTTTGAAGAGAACTACGACCTGGGTGCTTGCAAAGCGCTGTTCTGAACATGCACCATGCGTGCAAACAAAAACATTGCTGGCGTGAGTTGGCCTTGAGAAGGCTCAGCCCCCTGAACCAAGCTTCCCAACCCGCGTTACATCTTGGCACTCAAACTTTACACCACGCTGCCTGAAGATATAAGGCAAGCTTAGGCTTCGAAGGAAGCTCAAGCCCCTCGACAATCTCTGACTCTTGTGCACCACACGTGAATGATGAGGACTGCGCCTACGCTAAACCGTCGTCATACCCGGTACCGTCTGCACTGTTGGATCCTTGAAGATCGGAATTGCCAAGAATGCGCGCAGACCCGCGCCACCCCTGCGGCCCCTGCCTAGTGGCAGTCCGATAGGCGGACCCGGCGCCACCGAAATTAGCAGCTCGGACCTTCCGAAGGATGAGTTCGACGTGGCGTTTATGATTGAATTCTCGATGTTCAAGAACTGGCCGACTCGCCGAAGCCAGGATCGAGCATCACCACTCGAAGGCATCCATGTTGTGATCGACTCTACGCCAAGGCCACCATTGCAGACTCTCTTACCGTGGGATATGCGGCAGTTGGGTGCCGTGATTATTCAGCTCCTATAACCCGTTTGTGTGCCACACCCGAGGCACCTGATGCTCAAAGACACACACACACACACACACACCCATACAGCAACCGTTCAGTCATTCTCACAGTCCCATCACAGAGTGAGAGAGAAACATCGAAAGCCTGTGTCACAACATCCCAACGCCCAGACAAATGCCACGACACCACTCCTTAAGCAGCTGTGAACCTAAGCAGAATCTCGAGCCTTCTCTCAACAATCCCCTGCAACATAAGCTCGCCAAACCTGGACTCGCGCCTGTTGCGCTCTGCAATGCGGGTCTCCTCGACAGGGGTGCGGTGGCCGGCGAAGACCAAGCACCTTCCCATTGCGGTGAACAACTCTGCTATAAGTGAATAAGCCCTCGATAAGGCACATCTCTGCTCGCAAACCGTACATCCAAACAGTGGATGTTTCAGTTTCTTTGACCGTAAACCAATCGTAGACTTTGGTTCTTCCCTCCGGCTTTTCAGTCGAGCGCTGCGTTCTCAAAGTCGCTTGGGCAATCGGAGAAGGGGGTTGTTGGCAGTTCCTCCGAACCCCTACGGCTGCAGTCCTGACTAAGCCTTCTGAATACCAGAAAGCTGCCATGAAATCGCGTAAACGAACCCTTCACACCTCAGCACGGTCTGCTGCATTATCGGCAGCGCGGTCTGGAGTGGGGCACAGACTGCCTTGGAATGCACCAGGAGTAGGCTTTCGTGCTCGTGCCAGAGCGCAAGGCCCAAGGGCATGTTGCATCATGTTGCTTGACGGCTAATTGACGTAGTGGTGTGCGGGAGTGCATGATGGTGCAAGCTGTTCGCCGCAATTCCGAGGGCATCCGGGATGATTCGGGGTTTTGCGCTCTAGGCTTTGAGGCTTAGCTGCAGGACGTCTATAGGGCCTTAACTGGCGAGTCGAACCTGATGCCTGTAATCTGGATCTCCCGGTCGATAGATGACCCAAGCAGCCACAAGACAAGAGCCCATCCTATATTCAGCTGCATGCCCTTTTTTTGCATCAGGACTTGTGCAATCGCCTGAATACATGCCCTAAACCCTGAACCCATCTTCCCCTGTTTGCATCCGGCCTTCAGGAAATAGAACCAGGTGTCCAGTGGCCCCAGCTGGCGAATGAGGTCTAGCAGCTTCAGCAAGGTGTCCCTGTTGATGGTCCTAGACAGTTGGCGACAGCATCACCCACCATCGTCAAAGTCCCTTATCTGCGCCAGCACGACGAACTTCTTGCCGCTAGTTGCGAGAAGTGGTAATTTCTGCATGGGCTTGGTGTGTACATGCACGCTCATATGTTCATATCTAGCTGCGAATGCTTGCTGCTGTGACATGATGTGCGTTGCGTCGAACTGGCCGGCGGTGGCCCTGGCGGCGGCTGCTGCCTGCTGGCTCTGCTTCCACTTTTGCTTCTGCTGCGGCAAGGGTTTATCGCGGTGTAGCTGCAAAGGCTGCTGAATCTGTTGCTGCTATGTTCTTCTATGCTGCGTTTCCCCTGTCGGTGCTGTTGCTGCTGCCGTTGCAGATCTCGTTGTTGCTGTTGTTCTTCTTTCTGCTGCTGCTGCAGCTGCTGCTGTCGCTTCTGCTGTTGTTGATTTCAAACGTTGGTGTTGCTGTTGCTGTTGTGGCTGTTATTGCTGCTCTTGTTGATGAAGCCGGTGCCCGTGCCGTTGCTGATCACATCGCAGCCGCGGGTGCTGTTGTTGCTGCTGCTGCTGCTGCTGCTGCTGCTGGAGATGTTGCTGCTGCTGCTGTGTCTGCTGATGTTATTTTTGCTGCCCCTGTTGCTGTTGATGTTGTTGGTGGTGGCAGTGGCGCAGCTGCCAGCTGCTAGTACCACTGCTGGTGTTGTTGCTGCACGAGTTGTCGATGCCGGTGCCGTCGCTGCTGAGATGGTGTGAAGGTTTGTGGTTGTGGTTGTTGTGGTTGTGGTGGTTGTTGCCGTTGTTGTGGTTGTTGTTGCTGTGCAGTTGCAGTTGCAGTTTCAGTTGCGGTTGCTGTTGCTGTTGCTGCCGTTGTCATTGTCGCTGTGGTTGTGCTTGTCGGCGTAGCTGTGGTGGTTCGATTGATTGTTTGCTTGCTTGCTTGCTTGCTTGGTCGTGGTCGTTGATGTTGCTACATTTGCTCCCGTTGCTGGTGCTGTTGTTGCTGCTGCCGTGATTGCTGATATGGCTATTGTTGTTGTTGTTGTTGCTGTTGCTGCTGTTGTTGTTGTTGTTGTTGCTGCTGTTGTTGTTGGTGGTGGTGCTGGTTGTTGGAAGTTGCTGGTTGCTTTTTGGAATCTAATAATACTTGATGAAGCCATTCTTGGAGAAAGACAGTGTAGTCCTCAGACGCCAACAACAGAAGTCGGAAAAGTTACCTCTCCAAACCCAGAAAGCCCAGGCTTTGGACACTCAACGCGTCCTCGCAAGCTCTTCGTTGTTGCCTGGGCTGCAATTATACGGGTGATTGGAAACACTCCAGCTTTTAAACCCGGAAGCCATCTGCCCAAGACCCATGGTGTGGTCAATCAAGAGGCTCAAAGGCTTCAAGGCTCCCAAGTCAAGTGATGTCCCAACAAGCATGCCAACCTTGGGATATCTAACAGGAACCTAACAAATACAGGTACACCAAAAGCTCGAACCTATGGTGCTCCTGTGGCCCGAAGTAACTCCAGCATGTTTCAAACCAACACCAACACCACATTCATTCGAACCGAACTTCTTTCCACATCCTCGAAGCTGGGCCCAGACCGCTGATTAAGAGTGCAATGATTGTACTGAGGGCGAGGAGGTCGTTGCTGTGACCCCTTTAGATTCTTATGCTTGTGATGACGGGCTACAGCAAACAGCAGCATTACGACCACTATCTTCGATATGCTTTACTGCCGTGTTGACTATACGTACCCCCTGTGGTGGCAATCGGGCTGATTGCTGGTGTTGGCTCATTAAGCTAACATGCCTGGGATGACTTGGCTTTGAGATGCTGTCATTGTTTGTCGTCTTGTCGCAGCTGAAGCTGAAGCAATGCATAACACCGCCGTTGTTCCTGCTGCCGCCGTCGAAGGCAGTGTTTTGCCAATTTTTTTGTAGAGTATTATCATAGTCTGTCGCTCGAACTTATGCTATCTTCAAGCCTCGGGACTCACCAACTTCACGAACACGTCGCTGGCACCAAGACCAAAGCCATTGAGGGTATTCAGCAAGTCCTGTCTTGGGGAGCGGACACTTGCGGGCCCCGGGTAGCCGATCACGGCAACTTCAAAGCACAGAGAACGGAGGGGTCTTGGGCTTCTGAGATGCAGGATATGCGTCTATTATATTACATTATGTTCTATGGCTGGGAGGCGCCGGGCGTCGGGCTCTGAGGCTTCGGGAAAGCGCCACGTGTATCAGTTTTAGAGCTAAGTCTTAAAATATATAATGTATTATATGTTATATATATTATATTTTTTATATTTGATACTATAAGTTAAGTCAGGGCCATGAGAACAGTTGTTCGCTGCTCGCACAAGCTGTCGGCCACACTGGAGTTGAACCATGCGAAGCACTTAAAGAACCTACAAATCCAGCTTTGCCCAGCCCTCTTGCAACAAGGCCAAGCGACAAAACAGACCGCAGCCCTCGGCACTGCACATCTCAGTGATCCTCTAGCGCAACCCTCTCCACCCGAAGCAGGCGTAGTGAGGCAAATCCATGCACTAGTAGAAATCCGGAAGCCATCCCTACATTATCCGGTGCTCCAGCCAGCCGCGCTTGTGGAAGTAGCTTTCAATCTTCCGTATGCCCAGGAAGGTGCAGAGCCACAGCCGCACGAGCAGCTTCAGACCTTGGTCGGCTTATCATCACCAAGGTTTAGGGTTTACACTCTCACAACTCGGACAAGCCAGGCGAGGATCCATAGGTGCATAAGGTTTAGGGTTTAGAGTTTAGGGTTTAGGGTTCAGGGTTTCAATCATCATTGCTCTTATGCATAAGCCTCGTGCAAGTCGGCTGCTTTCCATTTTGGAGCTACAGTGGTTTCATGAGGTCAGCATAGGGTTCACAATCGGATGAGCTCACGAGATCTGAGCTTGCAATGACGGCCTCTCACTCCTGCACATGATGTGTAACATTTACTATACAGTATGCAAAACTTGATACATGGTACATACATTAATAAACAGTACATAAAACTATACATAACTTGATACATAAAATAATGAAGTCTGCACTATACGTCCACAACTCTTCCTCCAACACTGGCCCTAGGGCCACCCAGACAGCACACTTCGACTGCAAAGACCTCCTTTGCTCTTAAGAAACCAGCCACCCCCCAAATCAGGGTGTATAGGGCTTTTTTGACACTCACACTCGGACAAAGCCTGGCAAGATTTTAGGGTCCAAATCAGGATTTTCTGCTACAAGGGCAAGCAATGAAAATGCTAACAGAGGCAATGCGACTCAGACTATGAAGCCTCTGACTTCCAAAATCCCTGCTGATTGAAGCACAACTACTTCTGGTGTCTCCGAAAATGCCAAGACTGGTTTACTTGGCCACTGGCATCTAGTCTTCATGGTCGCGACCATTCCTCATGACGAATGCTTGGGGCAGCTGTCGGTGTCCGTTTCGTGGCGTTGGTTGCGTACCGCCAGCTACTGCGACCTCTCGACAGCTCCATGTACGTACTTCAAAAAGCTGTATACAGGAGAGAGGAGGACCAAAAACAACAAGCACACTAGTGTAGAGAATTCACATGAAAGCAACATAGGTCGATTCCTGAAGAGCTGGCAGCTTCGCCCCGCCTTTCATCACCTCCTCCCAGGCTTCCACCTCTGCGAGGCTGTCCACGCTGGAAGCCAGCGCCTGGCAGGAACGGGAACAGATGAAGGTTAAGGTTTCCCCAAATGAGACCGAAGACTTCCATCCTGCCCTGTGATGCTGCGCATCAGGGAAGAATACTTCGGCGGGAAAGGCTTCTACATTTACCAATCTGCATGATGTTGAATCAGCAGCACGACATCTGCATGCGACCGCACATCACCGCCTCAATAAAGAAAGACCTAGCAGCTGTTCTTTTCGCCAAGGTACCTGTGGACCCGAGGCTGAAAGAGCCTTCAATGTTGACTAGGCTTAGTCTTTGCTGTGGTCTTCACATCCGCTTTTGCAAGACTTGGCCCACCACAAACCGACGACAGAGCCAGGGGGTGGCCGAAGGGACATTTCACGACGCAGTTTGACTGACCGTCAGCCTCAAGAGAAGATGGGAAAAGGTTGTGGAAAGGTCTGAGCCCCGCGACTAGACGATGTGCAGATTACAGGGCTTGTAGATGATCCGACATTTCTCAACATGCCAGCCACACTTCCCGCGCATGCATCTTGGACTCCATCTTCGCGGCCCGACGGCCCCATCTGCACAAGGTAACTTGCACGAGAAGGTCAGCTAAGTGCAGCCACCAGCAGCAGCAACTCAGATGCAGGAGGTGTCACAGGACTGCGAGTGCCTCTGGCATGAAACACGAACGATGCGTTCGCACGCCGTCCGGGGAGTAGGATGACATTCTAGGGTGTCGGGCGGCTGACCAGAGCAACCTCCAACGCTCTACTGCCACCCGCCCGACCTCACATCGCCGATGACCAGCAGCTCCTGAGTGATGGTGGGGGTCGGGGAGGGGGTTGGGGCTAGATTTCCAAAGCCACACAAAACATCAAACACAACAAGCAAAGTGGCTTTACAACCACACACCAGCTCCAGTATGTCCGAACATCGATACCCCAAACGTGAGGCCCGAAACCAAGGTTTACATTGTAAGACAGCCTGAAGGGTGCATGCCAGGCTCCGTCCGCTTGACCAACTCATGGAACAGCTTGAAGCTAGCATCGATGTACTTCATTTGGTGGGACACCTGCAGTCGCGAATGTCTTTAAGCCCAATCGTCTCGCAAGCATAGCTAGGAGAACATCACCTCATCCAACTCGGTGGCTTCCCTACGGCACTGGATCCTAACCAATTCTTCAAGTTCCCAAAGGCCCACTAGCTCCTGGGTTTAAAGGCTTCAAACCCCATGGAACCCCATTGAAAACTCGTGACAAGGACTCCTGAATCAGTGCCTAGGGCTCGCTTTTCGCTCTGCCGAGCTCTCACTTCCGACAAACTTCCGCCCTGCAAGGCCAGCTTCGCCAGCAAAAGCGCTCCAAATTCCCAAAGGCTGCTCACACTTCTGAAGCCCTATCGTCTTGGAACGGCTAGAGGATGTCCGCCCCACCTTAGAACCCAGAAAGAAACCCTTCCCAAGAACTGCCGGTGACCCTGAGCCTGAACTCCGGCCGCTAGCACCCCTGAGCCCGCTGCATGCTGCCGTGCAGGTAAAGCCAACCAGGGCTCCGTCAGGGGGTCCGGGAGAACGGAAGCGCTGGCATCCTCGCAGCATTTGAGAAATTGAGCTTCCGTGTTTTGGAGCCACCCGCCTGGCTACAATATGAAAGGTAGCCGCGCAAAAGAATCCTTTTGTGTTGGGTTGGAGCTCCACTGTGCAATCTTGAAGATCGGTGTGTGCTGCGTTGTGGTGTGTCGTGTTGTGTTGTGTGTGTGTGTGTGTCTACCTGCCTGCCTGCTTGTGCCTCTGTCCTCGATCCCTGTGTCGACTTCGGGTTGATTGGGAGTCCAGGAAGTTCTCTCCGCTGAATCGAGTTTTTACGTCCTTCGAACAGTGCACCCCAGAACTCCGAGCGCAGTGCTCAGCCCCAAGACATACTAGTAACTATTCCCGGTGACTGCGGATTTCTCATGAATCGTCAGCCCTACATTCTCAGAGGCCCTGACATTACGTGTCTATGCTATGCATTTCTTGATTATCTTTTTACCTGGTTCAGCCTAACACCCTTATCATGATTCAGCTTCGTGCGAAAGGCATGCACAACTTCGCTCGACTTGTGCCTGGCGCCAGTGCCGCGAATTCGTCAAGAAGAAAATCATGTCCTGCGCTCCGCACAAAAGGAAGTGGATCAGTGTTGGGGGGCTCAAACTCAAACTCCACTGATAACAGCAAGGGCCGAAACTCCTAGAATAATGCCCTGCTGAAAAACCAGTGATCCCTAGACAGTAAAACACGTGAAGACGGCAGCTCCTCGGATGTGACAGCAGCTATGTCTCTTTGCCACTTACAGCAACACCTAGGGTTTTCGGTTTACACTCTCACAACTCGGACAAGCCAGGCGAGGATCCATGTGCGACAGTCGGTGTGAAAACATTGGAAGTCTAGGGTTTTCGGTTTAGGGTTTAGGGTCTTGTTGGGAGAACCTTTCCAGCATCTGGGACCGCCTGGGCTGCCCTGCGGCCTCCCCGAAGCCCCAAACTCAAGCCATCCCAATTCATCTCATCCTCGGATCTCGCGTGGTAGACGGAATGTCGACACTCAGCTCCAAATTTAGCGCGGATAGTCTTCAACCTGAGAAGGCCTGCATTCCGGGATAGACTACCGGTAAACTTCACCGCATGCTGAAAATCTTCGGGGGCATTCTAAGGCATAGGGAGAAGCTTGAGAAAAAAAGATGTGCTGCTTCTGCAAAGCATCGGCTTTCACTTCTGCCAAGCTTAGAGAATTTCATGAGCATGGTCGGAGGTCCGTGAGGGCGTGCTCGCACTGCGTGCAAATGAAACCGGCGATGCCGACATCGTCAAACTCCTGGAGCAACAAACGGCCGCTTAAAAGGGGTGGGGTTTCGGGACGGGCCTAAGCTACTAAGTTGAGGGACAAGCCTGGCATCGCGGCACAATCTGACGGTGGAGGGCAAAGCGGTGCTCGTTCACCTGCGATCGACTCATCGCGGGCATGCAGCTTCGGTTGAACAAGTCATCTCCAAGACCAAGCAAGCACCAACTCCGCTTGAGCCTGGTCTTTCGACTGCTACACAGAATCCCTGCCCTGCACTCTGAACAAAGACCGATGCTGAATGCTGAACTGACTATCAGCAACTCCTGCAGTGAGGCCCTGAGGGTAATGGCTCTTGCAGCTCATGGCAGCGATGCATAGCACGACAAAACGATGATGAGTAAGATGCCACACCTAGATCAGTCTTTCCAGGCTTGTGGTCCGATCTTATGCCAGGTGACCACTTCACAATCCTTCAAAAAGTTGGTGCCCTCCATGTTCTGGATCACCTTGGTGCTGAATGTGTGGTGGTTGGCAGCCATTCAGGCTAAAGTTTCCCGATCCACTGCGGGTGCTAGTAATCTCCTGCATCGTGAGACCACTCACTTCTATGATTATATAATCACGTACTGAATTAATGTGTTTCGCTACAGCATCAAGTGTGCATGCTTCTAGCATGCCGCAAAACCCATAGCAGCATTATGTACCTGCAAAAGGCAGCAACAGGAACAACAACAGCCACAGCCACAGCCACAGCCACAGCCACAGCCGCAGCATTTTACAAGAGTGCACAACAACGTTCAACAACTGCAACCACTTAAAACAGCACACGACAACATCTTAGCACTCGCACTCGACACAACAACATACAGCGTACAACAACGCGCGACCCCATACTACAGCACACTACAGCATCAACATCATACAACAACATACAGCAACATAACAACAACATACAACATCCCCAGACACTATCTAACAGAGCATCAGCATCAGCATCAGCAACGACCAACAGCAGCAACAGTAACAGCAACAGTAAAAGCAACAGAAAACACAACAGAAACAGTAACTGTAACCATAACAGCAACCGCAACAACAAGAACAAGAACAAGAACAAGAACAAGAACAAGAACCACCACCAACAACAACAACCAACAACAACAAACAACAAACAGCAAACAGCAAACAACAAACAACCAGCAACCAGCAACAAGCAACAAGCAACAAACAACAAACAACAAGCAACACGAAACAAGCAACAAGCAACAAACAACAAACAACAAACAACAAACAAACAACAAACAACAAACAACAAACAACAAGCAGCAAGCAACAAGCAACAAGCAACAAACAACAAACAACAAACAACAAACAACAACCAGCAAACAACAAACAACAAACAACAAAAAAACCCAACAAGCAACAGCAACAGCAACAGCAACAGCAAAAGCAGCAACCACAAGCGCCGTCGCGACCGCGACCGCAAGCGAAACCGCAACCGCAGCGACCAACAATCCACAACTCACAACCCCTACCACACCAACAACAGCCAAGAAAAGGCAGCGGTAAGCACCCTGCGGCCAAAATCGGACATGTTCCTGTCACAGCGCGTCTTTCAGCTTTGACCCACACCTTTAAAACCGTTGTAAAACCCCTGAACCCTTGCAGGAACCCTAAACGCTGGACAATCCAATCCTCAGCCAGCGGCAAAGCTGTCGCGGGAAAAGCGCGAGGAGGAGAAAGTGAGATCCAGCCTCGGGCGTTGAGAGTAGGCAAGCTGAATTGTAGGGGCTTAGCGCTTTAAACTTTCGGGTTGGTGGGTATTGGGGTGTGTTCAGGGCTTCGGGGCTTCACGGTTCAAGGCAGGGCTGGAGAGATCCACGTTTCAGGCGTTCGGCTTCTGGCGTGCGTTCCGTGATACTGCCACTGGGCGACAGGGTTTCTTCTTGTCTTGGGCCTACGAGAAACCTTATAGTATAGCATCATAAAGTCTAGCATGGTATAGTGTGGTATAGTGCAAAATATTGTATAGTGCAGTCTAGTGTAGTATAGTGTAGTATAGTGTAGTATAGTGTAGTATAGTATGGCATGGTGTCGTATAGCATAGCGTAGAAATAGTGTAGTATATTATAGTATAGTAAGTATAGCATAGTATCGAATTGAAAACGAAACCCTAGCAACTGATTGTGCATCGGGCTTCCGAGGAAAAGAACAGAACTGGTGTCTCAGCACTGGCATGCATGTCAGAGTCTGAAGCCATGTCTTCAATTTTCTTCAGGTTTATTTCGGTTTCTGGTGGTCCTGGAAACGGAATAACTGAACTGACGCCGCCTTGAAGTCTTCAAGGCCTTGGAGCTTCTTTACTGTGCGTCCATGGCCGCTTGCTGAGCTCCGGGCGAGTTGCCCTTGCCTGGGATACCGAAGAAGGGCAACAGCTAAATGAAGACACAAGCCGATGTCCCAAAGCGATCAGACAGTGAGTCATGTGATGTCACGTGCTTAGAGCTGCGTGGACAGGAGGAAACCGTGCATCGTATGGCGACCAAGGGTTCCCAACTTCGGTGATCTACTCAGTCCTTGGTCTTCCTGTTCCGCTGTCTTGTTCGCTGTATGACTCGTGATTGCAGGGGTGCCTAACCTCAGTGCCTTCCCAGGCCCTACGTAAGAGGTGAAGCCCTGACATGGCTGAAATGTGCCGAAATGGGCAGCTCTCCAAATTAGTGTCCTTTTTAGGTGTCGAATATAGTACGGCATCCCTATAAAATGGACCCCGGTAAAAACGGACCCTAGCTTAGAGAACTTCCCAAATCAGGAAGTGGAATCTGCCGGCCTCGCTTGGCCCCGGTACAGCACAGCCAGAGGTGCGGCGTGCCGTGCCTGGACGTTCCAATGAAAAAACCGGCACTCCGACATGTCACGGCAGTTCTGACATGAATTGAGCACCGTGACATCTACTGCTGCCGTTATTGCAACCATCCATGACGCGTTTGCGGTCCGTTTGGTACACTTCTACCTTTTGTCGGCCTCGCCGTCCCCGCACATAAACATGTCCCTGACGACGGCTAGTTCCGGAGCGCAATGTGCAGGAACTGGACTCTGAGCTGAGGCAAACTGGCCGGCTGGGCTGGCTCCATCTTAGCATCACCGCAGCTTTGTCCTCTCGGAGTGCAGCTTCACCGTGGACTACTAGTCTTAATTGACACGCTCAGGGTCACACAACAGATGTCGGGATGGCCACTACGACCTAGAACAGCTACCAGGTAAATACAAGGCTGGAAGAGCATCTCGCTCTGAGCACAACCTTGCAATATCAGAGTTTCCCTGCATGACTGGTGTCACAGGTGTCATCGGTCGAGGGATACTCGGAAGCGCAGTCCTTGGGCACACCTGCACCGTACATTCCTCTGCTGTAGGCTTGCGCCTCAACCACACCTGCCGGGCCAGAGACAGCGACGTAGAGTCCCAAGGCAATTCGGGCATCCACATCATACTATTTCTATCCTTGTTGCTGTGACAGGCCGATGCCGAAGGATGCCTGCAGGTTGAGGTTGCCGCAGTTTACTTTCATCATACTGAGGCTTCAAGCTGGACTGAGCTGCCTGGATTGACCTTCCACCCCACCACACCCAGTCATGTCTTGTGCATTGCCATGATAACGGGTGCAGTACAGAGGTCGGAATGACTGGTAATACTACTCTCTTACAGTTCAAACATACTTATAGCACAAGACACCCCCGGAGCCCTGCTCTAAGTATCAAGTTCTGATATCACTTTTGCAAACCACACCGCGCCTGTGGGTTCGAGGAAGAACTGGCACAGTGGCCCCGGGATGTTCACCAGCTCTGCCCTCCGGCATGATAGTATATACTGGCGTATCGTATAGAGTATAAGTACAGTGCAGAATGCAGTATGGCGCAGGGCCTTGTAGGTGTAGTGACGGACAGTACAATTTAGTTCACTTCGGGGCTCAGGGAAATAATTGCGCTTACTCTTGCAAGCCAACATAAACTCCGACAAAAGGGCCGGACTCGCAGGACCAAGGTGCAAAGCCAACGGTGAAGAGACTTTTGGTACTCAGAAACATGTGGTCGTATTTGGGTACGCATCTGTACAGCCTGAAGTATCTTACCATACGAAGGGGCCGCAGCTACGTGATTACTCACGAAGTTACGGTGTGCTATGGAAATAATTGTTGCAGCATGCAGCTTGAAGGAAATTGAACCAAAAACGCACGGCTCTGTCTTGCGAGCCACCACAGGCCCCAAAGGTTCAAATTTCCTGGGCCCCACCCAAAGGCTACTTCTATCTCATCACCGTCCACGATCTGGGTATGAGCCACAACCAACCGACGCCTCCCCAACCCCGAGCTCAGAAGCACGAAGGATCATGGCAGGCCTAATGCTGATTTCCTCCTTGCGGACCTGCACAGGAGGTGAAGGGCGACATTGGGACAGGCTTAGTGGCCCGAAACCTGAGGCTCCAAAACATCTCGCAAGTTGGAAAGTCATCCGACAATTCAGACGAGCTCCATGGGCAGCGCATTTGGTTTTTGTGTACGGCGCTGGGGACTGACGGCCTTTCGGGTTACGCATCGCTTTGAATCAAGCGGTTGTTCATGCAATTGCCATCCTGCTGACGTGCCCCGTCAGGACAAACAATTGGCGCTTCTGTCCCATGCGAAACTCTTGATATGAGGCCCTTCACAACTGAAGGATTCACGATTTCTCTCATGATGCTCGGGACAGGCACTGTCAGTCGTGTGACAAACACAAACGGGACATCGGCCGTTGACGAACTCTGCTCGAGTTGGCATCGCGAGTGCGGGGCTGACGATTGGGGGCTTCTGTATATTTTATGATAATAAGTCAGTATAGTATACAGTATATTATATTTTAGTATATCATAGTATATTATTGTATAATGATAGCCTGCCAGCCCATAGCTGTCACTCATGTCTTGCAGTCGGGCCCCCATATGCACCTTCTTTGAGTGATGCTTGTCCTCACCGCGGAGCAACAGTCCAGACGCCTCGGTGTACGTACGGGTTGTGACGGTTATGACAAGCCCAATCTTACCTGCTGTGGAGTGGGTGTCTGTGTGAAAGTGTGCATGCATATTATATATATATATATACATGTATATGCTATTCACATGTGTGCAGATCTACTCAGCCGGCCACTCAGGCAAAGGGCGAATAGGCATCCAGATCACCGGTCCAAGGAAGCAGTGCGAACATCAGCTAAAGCTTGGCATTTGTAGACTTGGAGGCAGCGCGCCGTGGGTATATTACAACCGCGACGACTGATTAATTAACACTAGTGTGTCGTCAACCCTTCCTCACATCCCGAACCCGCAGGCAGTTGGGGCGACGTCGGCTGTTCGACAAAGCCCTAAAACAACACTGGGGCTTACTTCAGAGTTGATGACGGTGCTCAAGGCAATTTATTCAACTCCTGCCTCGAAGGGCAAAGCAGACGGGGCTGCCCTATGCGCGACAACAAGACAGGGCCCTACCTTCATTAACGAAAATGAGGTCGCGTGACAGAAGGCCGCGAACCCAATCTTCTCTCCCGAGCCCCCTTGTAGAAGAGTCTTTTGCCCTCAGCCCGGAACCCTCAGCCACAGAGAAAGGCACAAAACAGAGTACTGCGTGTCTACATCCTTACTACCCATCCTGGCCTATATCCAGCCTCCAGAGTCCGTGCCCAAAGACGTGCCCCACGACGCACTAAGCCACGGATCCATGACTCGTTTCATCAAGTCCAGACCCTGATATCCTGGTTGCAAGACGCCTGAGTCCCTGGCTACGAGATCATGTTCTTTGACGGCCAAGTACCTCGGGAATGGCTAGGTCACATTGCCCAACTTGAACGAAAACGGTACTGGTAGGGACTCGTGCCATGAGACTTCGGCTCCCATGCCGCACTTTGCAACAAATCCCCAAAACCCAAACCGCAGAACCCCGAAATTCCCACAACCATCCTTGCTGCAGAGGAATCGGCTTCTTGCTTCCCAGATGTCGCAAGAGGATCGGTGTGATGCACCACCTCGGCTGAGGTGCGTTTAGGCAGTACTCATACAGTCGTAGCATATCAGGTCAAGCGGCACTTATAAGTAGGACCGACAGCCCTAGGACTGCTTTCCAACAGAAAAACTTCTGATAGCATGGCTCAGCACAAACATGATACTGATGATGATGCCGTCCCTTCGCCGCAACCGCCAACTTCGCCAAGTTTATGGTTTACTACCACCATAACCGCCGTTATCCAAGTCGTCACCACCGTCATTTCTGTCCCCGTCGGCAAAATGTCTTCTCGTTCCAACCAGTACCAATGGCATCACGAGAGCCTGCTGCGGCTTGTGATATCGGCCCCACTATGAGCACACACAACAGCTAGTCCTGCTACTGCTACTGCTGCTGCTGCTACCACCTGATACAATACTACTCCTCCTCCTCCTCCTGCTGCTGCTGTGCTACTGCTACTGTTTCTGTTACTGCTACCTACCATAACGACCACTACCACAATCTACCACCACTGCTGTTACTACTGCTACTGCTGCTACTGCTACTGCTACTACTACTACTACTACTACTTCTACTTGTACTTCTACTTTTA